GCCACCTTGTCGTGTAGAGCTTGGCGCTCTAGGGACCGCCAGTTGTGGACTTTAAAGTGGGTTGCTTCACCACCCGTGCGGGGCTCCGCAGATGGTGGAAAGAGCTGACAAAGAGCGCCTCCTTCAGGGTGGCTGGAAGGGTACAGCCATCGGCTTCTCTCGGCCTTAAAGGGAGTTGGGTTAGTCAAGAAGGGAAACGTACCTGGTCTTACACTGGTAAGCACTCTGTGTCATGCCAGGCGGTCCAGGGACGGAGTAGGGGGTCGTTGGGGATAAGGGCAACTTGCTGCCATGGGGTCGGGGAGGTAATTAGATACATTAGGGGATGCATATTTTTGAACTTATAGAGGGAAAGACCCACACGCGGGCTATCGAAGTCTTCGGAGCCGGGTAAACCCGGGTGTTCAGTGGCGGCCACTGGGATCGCGCAGGTGATCCTCGAGTTCTCAGGAAGACCGGTAACGCCGGGGGTCCGCGCCCTCAGATCGCAAAAGCGACCGCCTCTGAGCACTTTAGGGCCCTGTCGATGAGGAATTCCGCTGGCGAATGGGGGTTCCTTTCTGGGGAAAAACGGGTGAAGCCTGCCCCTGCTCCCTTCCCTTTGGAAGTAGTTGCATCGTCCCGGATGCTTCGCGGCGCCCGATTGTCGGTAACGTTGGGGTGCGCCAGTGATACTCGACGGAAACGCTGGCAACGTCGAAGCGACGCACTCCTTGATCCTAAAAGCGGCCGTCGTGGGGCATATCGAGCTGTCTGCCTATGGAGGGGAGGAATGGGACGGGCGTAGCTTAATAGATCCACGAGGGAGGGAGGCAGCCACCACTTGGGCGACCGTTATCGGGCTGGAAGGTCGAGGCGCTCAAAGGGTGCACCCCGTTCTGGGGCCACCACTCCTCCTCACGTGAGGGGGAGGATGTTCTTTATCGGCGGATTGCTAGGAGCAAGCAGGACTCTTGTCCATGCTGGCCGCTGCCCAGTCCGAGGACAACAGTCGGTTGTTGGTGCGCATATTTCCCGGGTCTGTTCTCCGACGCCGATACGGTAGAGACTGGGCAGGGGGACTGCGGTAGCCCTATCCGCGGGGGGCAGTCTTAAGCCTGGGAAGTCGACTCCAGATGTCCCGCATAACGGCGGGGGCAACGCCGGTGCTGGTATGCCATGTCATGCTAGAGGTCAACGCCCGTAAAGCGACCCCGTTGTGGCTGGCGGAGTCTACGGTGCTCAGCGGCACGGGATGGGCAGCGAGATGGCACCGTTCCCGGGGCTCCGATCTTTAAGACGACCACATAGAGGAGCGGAAACCCGCGACTCTCGCTCGCCTGCTCAATGTTGGTATTGGGAAGGGTTCAATTTACTCTCCCTGGCAGCGGTTACCAGGATAAGACGGTCTCGACAAGGACGTGTCCCGCGAAGGTCCCAAGGGCATCGCGGAATCCCAGACCAGGCTACCGGAAGGACTGGAAGCCACAAGGGGTAGGACTCATCCGCAAAGTCCTACCCCTAAGACCCACAACTTGGGATTGGGAGGGAGCGAGCGTTTCCGCCTGGGGGACCACCTGGGAGCGGTCTCACAGGACGACGGCACAGGGCCGGGGTTGCGTGGGACAACTTCCGGCCAAAGGGTGGGAAGGGGAGTGAATGTGTGTGTGTCTGTGTGTGTGCATGATGTGAGAGGCATCAATGTGTGATGTCCCTAAGCCGGTTTTGGCGCAACTCCCGGCTAAGGGGGCCAGGTGCCGTTGGCTGGGGTTCGCCTGGAAGTCTGGTGGACGGACTGGTTCCGGCGTTTATCGGTCCGTCTACCCCCGTAGCCGGCCGGTTGTAAAGTTGGTACTGAACAAGGTCGTGCGGCCGGAAATTTGGCCCTTGGCTACTGGCGTCCCCTCCTTCGGTGCTGCGAATCGGGGGGCCGGGCTGGTGCTGGGGCTGGAAACGGCTTCTACTGTCTGTGTTGCCCCCGGATTATGGTTAGGTGGTATTCCGATGCCACCCTCAAGTACTCCGGGGGAACACCCAATGGGAATGGTATCGCCGGGGTAACGCCGACGTAATCCCGTTTCGGAGATGCGTGACTTGTGTCCTCTCCTCCTTACTTGGTGGCAGCCGATAGTCGACAACGATGGGGTGCGCTGGTGATTCTCGACGGAAACGCTGGTAAAGCCGGAGCAACGCACTCCCTGATCCCTAAAGCGGCTGTCACTGTGTACATTGTGGCCCCATCGATAAGGGGTACCGCGGACGTGCCGGTGGCTCGGATCCCATTGTGTGGAAAGAGATTTAAATGTCGCCAAATCCCCTTTTCTCGCCTAGCTTGGTTGCTGGGTGCACGGTAAAGCTAGTAACTGGCCCATCAGCCGTGGTTATCGAGGTGTTCAGTCACTTGTTAGCACCTCCACCACGGTCGGGGGGACAGGAGTCCTGGCGACAAGGTGGGAACGCCTCTCCCGTGCATTCCATTTGCCAAGTCCGGGACGGTTATACCTACGCGATCGGGCGCGTCCCCAGGTAACGGATAGGGGAACGTGCAACAGATATATTGGGTGCCTGTGAATAACACCATTCGGGAAGAGTAAGCGGGCGCGGACCAAAAGACGCTGGGGTTTTGGAGGTTGAGTGGTTCTACCCCGGGGTGGGATGGCGCCGTTAAATGTTCAACGGAGGAAGGATCCCTGAGACGGGCGAGTGGAAGCCGTCCTAAAAGTTCCCTCCCCCGGGCTGACCGGGCCCGTTTGGTTTGGGTGCCACCGGTCTATGAACTAGGGAACCACCGAATAAAAGGTTCCCCCCGGAAAAGGAACCGGGTCAAAAATACTCATCATGGGTGGTTCGAAAAAGAAACAATCACCCGGCGCTTTTGGAGGCATCGGGACCGGCGGGAGGGGTGGTAATGTCCCGGTTCCCCCTTCGTCGTCATCCTACGACGGGCGGAATTGCCGTCAAGTTCTCCCTCTGATACAGCTATCGCTGTTGGCGAAAAAGGTTGCGCATCAGCGCTTCCATCGGCGGCTATTGGGCCTCCCGCAAGTAGCGGGCGCCTTGGAGTAGAAAGGAAGGGAGTGGAATGCATTCCCAGACTTTCCGAGATAGGCAGTTCCGCTCCAGCTCCGAAGGGACCCGCCTGGGTGTTTCGCCGTCTGGAGAGGCACTCAGATGGAGATTATAAAGAGGCAGCAACCTCCCTGTGGTCGGGTTCAGGCCCCTCTATAATGGAGTCCATAAAGGCCTATGTCGCCGTTGCGGGCAAGAACGAAGAGGACGCATGCTTCATTGCTATGAGAAAGGAGGACCCGGAGGTCTGTTCGAGGATATGGATGGGTTTCAGGAACTATGCCCTCAGGAGGGCTGAAGATGACTTACTTATGGGCGAGGAGTCCAACGCGGGGTGGGTTGACCTGTGTTCAGACTCCGAAATCGATAGTGAAGGGGACGGCTCTGCGCCGGTAGACAACATACGGGTAATGCGATCTCAGAAGAAAAATATAATCTACTCCGAGGCCGCAATTATGGTAATGGATGAACTTCTTTACATCGAAGATGTTGAAGAGTAGATCTGCCGGGCCTCTCTGGTGGCCCGGAATGAAGACCTGGGGAGGACCCTCATCGCCTTAAAAATCATTTGGATGCTCGGGGATGCATTGAGGGTAATTGACTGCTGGAAGGAGAGAGCCTTTAACAATCTTCGGAGGGGATCGGTGGATCCGTCCCTGGAAGTGAGAAAAGCCAACAAAGAAGTGGCGGCCATAAAGACAGAGCTGGAGAAGGTGAGGGCATTCAACGCCGCCATCACCGAAGAACGGACTAAGTTCCGCGAGGAGCTGAAGGAGCTGGACTCTCTCGGGGGGCGGGTCCCCGGCCTGGAGGTCGAGAATGCCCGCCTCCTGGGGGAGTTTGAGAAGTTGAGAAAGGCGGGGACTGTCGATCCGGCCTCCCCGCCCTTCCCGAGTGAGGCTGGTTTCCCCCTGCCAGCGGCTGGCAATTGGCCTTCGCTCGGCGGTAGTGAGACTCGGAAGAGAAAGGCTGAGGAGGATGGCGGGAATTCGCCGCCTACGAGGCCGAAGAGGAGGGAAGCTCCAAACTCTCTGTCCCGCTCGCTGGCAGTTCGGCCGGCTGCGGGGGGGGGGG